TTTTTTTTTTTTAATCTACAAAAGAAGGTCAGTGAAGGGGAAAAACCTCAACAAAGGAGTGGGAACATCTTCATCAACCACCTGAGTAAGCAAAGAAAAACCTGAACATCTGAAGCAACAAGGAAGCAAACCAGGTGGAGGCTGAATTCACTTGGTAGTGCAGACTCCCAGCTGTGAGCACATGGAAACCCTTATACTGACTCATGAGTGCTGGGGGAAGCCTGTGTATGGGAAGGTGCTGCCTGAAAACCAGTGGTTCACGCTCCATTCTTCTTTGCATCAGGTTCACAGCCTTTGTGCTCAAGACCTTTGTCCAAGCTCGAGCCTTCATCTTCATCAATGAAACCCACATTACCCATGCCTTGAGCTGGCTCTTCCAGAAGCAGAAGGACAGTGGCTGTTTCAGGAGCTCCGGGAGACTGTTCCACAATGACCTGAAGGTGATCTCCCTTGGGAGCTAGTTATGACCACATGGCTCATTCAGCTATGTCAGTTTTTCTAAGGATAAAGATATGTGAGAAGAAGGGACTGGAAATCATGGCAGGAAACAGGTGGGAGAATAAACCCGCATACCAGAGGGGAGGAGGAAATGGAATCTAGGCTGGGATGGACTTTGTGCAATAGGGATATGGATGAGAAGACCTTCTAAGGAACCGTAGAAGAGAAAAGATTGGCCATGAGAAGATTGGTCCATCTTTAAAGGGCTTCCTGAAGTGGGATTAATCTCTTTTTCATCTCTTGTGTTTACAGGGTGAAGTAGAAGATGAGGTGACCCTTTCTGCCTATATCACCATTGCCCTTCTGGAGATCCCACTGCCTCCCACTGTAGGTACCATGGTGTCGCTCCAGCTTGCCAGACTGCTTTGAGTTCTACTGACCTGTGGCTACATCATGCCTTGAAATGCTAAATGGCAGCTTTCATTTTGTACAGTTCTGCACATTAGCTAATTTCTGACAAGAAGAATATACTTGTTCAACAACCCTAGATATGTTCCAAAACGAATCCAAAACATGCAGTATCTAATCGATTCCTTATTATTTTATATTTTAATT